CTGCTCCTGTGCTTACAATGAGTGTGCATATCAATATGCCCCTATTGCGGGCTCGTCAGCGTCAGTCGTTGGGGTTCGGTCCGGTGTACAGTCTTGGGAAGGGGGCGGGAGGTAGGAGACACAGGGAATAGGGGTAGCTAGGTAGCTTAGCTCTGTGTGAGTCAGCTTACTGCGGGCCTCTGGGGGGCCATGCTTGGGTTTGCTGATCTGTTAGCTAGGTATGTTGCCCAGGGATACCAGGTCAGTGCACATTGCTCCTGTCTACCTTGGAGGTCTGCAGTTAAGGATTCCATTGAGTGGATATCTTCCACCCTTGTCACCCATTGCTGGAGGGTAGGCGCCCCCCTCTGTTTCCACATTGCCGGGATCAGGGCCTTTGCTGCGTTGAGTAGTGGCAGCGTGAGAGATTTCTTATATGTCTTGACGGGGGTGGGGGTGTGGTGTAATAGCATCGTTAGGGGGTCTAGGGGTAGCTCCGCTCCTGTGATTCTGTTTATCTCTACCCTGATCTTCTCCCAGTATGTGGTGATCTCGGGGCACTTCCACCAGATGTGGAAGTACGAGCCGGTGTGCCTGCCGCATCTCCAGCAGGTGTCCGGAGCACTCTCGTTCATGCGATTAAGTATGTCAGGGGTTCTGTACCAGCGGGTTAAAATTTTGTAATTCAGCTCCTGGTACTTAGAGCTGATAGAGCATTTATGTGTGAGGATGTAGATCTTGTCCCACTCCTGCGCGGTAAGGGCTTCCCTCTCCCAGTGATCCTTAAATTTGAGCACCACATCCTCACTAGTTTGGGTCTTGAGTATGGTATGTATAGAGGAGATACCTCTATGTATGTGTGTTCGGTGTACGCACAGGTGTTCAAAGCTGGTGAGGGGTCTAGTCAGGTGCCCTCGACCATGTAAGGATAGGAAGTACGTCTTAACTTGATGGTATCTGAATTGTTCGAGTATCGTCGGTGGTCTATCGGGGCAAAGGTTTCCTAGTGGTTTAAGTCCCTGAGTGTCAAGCCATTGGTGTAGGTACATCCAGTCTGCCTGCTGAAGGCCGGCTAAGTCTTGTGGGGATAGGGCATCGGCCAGGTCCGGGTTATGTGTGATGGGTGTTAGGGGGCTGGGGGAGCTGGTGAGTTGCAGTCGATAGCATATAGCCATCCACACTCGGAGCGTGGCGTCGATTAGTGGGTTCTCGGTGTGTAGGTTGGAGTATGTGGCGGTGTGTAACCAAAGTCTAGAGGGTATTTTCCTGCCCGTTTGTTCTAGTTCCAGGGTCACCCATTGTTTTAATGGGTGTTGTGAATGCCAGTCCGTCAGTCTGTGCAGGTGTGCGGCGCGGTAATACATCTCTATGGAGGGCAGTCCCGTGCCCCCCATCAGTTTTGGTAGTTCCAGGGTTGATTTTTTTATTCGGGTTGGGCGGGAGTTCCAAACGAATCTGCGAATGGCGGTCGTCATGGAGCTGAAAAAGGCTCTGGGGAGAGTAACTGGCACTGTTTGGAATAGGTAGAGTATCCTGGGTAACACGTTCATTTTAACCGCGTTGATATGTTCGAACCAGGAGATGTAATATGGGGCCCATTTCTTAAGGTCTGTCTGAAGTGAGTGTAGGAGTGGGTGATAGTTATGGTGGTATAATTGGGATGGGTCCTTGGTCAGCCATATGCCCAAGTATTTTAATTTGATATCGCACCATTTGAACCTGTATTGGGTGTAGAGGCGTGTTGGGGGGCCTGTAGGGGGTGGGAGGTGGAGGGCCTCAGACTTATCCGTATTGAGTTTAAGATTAGAGAGCGCCCCAAACTCCCGGAAGGATGCTAGAAGGTTGGGCAGTGAGATCAATGGCTGTGTAAGAAAGAACAGCATATCGTCTGCATATGCGGCTACTCGGTATTCGTGGCGACCGAGGCGGAATCCAGAGATTCCCCCATTCCGTCTGACCGCCCCCAGAAATGGCTCTAGGGAGAGGGCAAACAGGAGGGGGGAGAGCGGGCATCCCTGGCGGGTGCCATTCCTGATTGTGAAAGGGGCTGATAGTGCCCCGTTGATGCGGATCCTCGCGTTGGGGCACGTGTACAGTGAGAGCACCCAGGACAGCATGTTGGGGCCGAATCCCATGTGTGTGAGGGTGCTCCCCAGATACGACCAGCTCACCCGGTCAAAAGCCTTTTCGGCATCGGTGGAGAGTAGTAGAAGTTCTCTACGATGCGTCCGTGCTATGTGTAGGATGTTCAGAGCCTTAATCGTGTTGTCTCTCCCTTCCCTACCCGGGATAAACCCAACCTGATCCGAGTGTACCAAGTGGGGAAGGTGTCTTGCAACTCTCAGGGCAATGGCTTTTGCGAATAGTTTCAGGTCTGCGTTTAGTAGCGATATGGGACGGTAGCTCGCACAATTCGTCGGGTCCTTGCCCTCTTTAGGTATTACAGTAACTATGGCTGCTAACGTATCCGAGGGGAAGCGCCCCCCCGCCAGTATGGAGTTGAGGCCTAGTAAGAGGTTTGGTAGTAAGATGTCCTTGAACGTACGCAAGTACATCAGAGGCAGGCCGCCTGGTCCTGGGGCCTTGTGGGTTTTGGAGATTTTCAGGGCCGCCGCCAGCTCCTCTACCGAGAGGGGTTGGTCTAGGTCGTCTCGCATTTCAGCGGTCAGCTTTTTATCTATATTTTGTTCCAGGAATTCAGTGATTTGGCGGGTCTGTCGTGTGCGGGCAGCGTAAGTATTGGGTTGGGGAATGTTGTATAGGTTCGTGTAGTAGTCTACGAACGCACGCTGAATTCCGTCCGGCAGTCTGGTTTCAGCTTTGTCACTGGGCTTAATCTTGTGTATGTGGCTCGCCCTCTGACGGTCTCGGAGCTGGCGGGCTAACAGCCTGCCGCTTTTGTCCGAGTGTTCAAAAAAGAACCGGGCCGATTTTCTAAGGGTGCGTAGAAGACCCTGAGCTAATATGTCTCTTCTCTGCCGTCGGAGCGCAGTTAATTGGAGGTACGTGTCTTCGTCCTGACTCTGTTTGTGAGCTTGCTCTAAATTAGCTATTTGTGCGTTTAGTGTTGTCAGCTGTCGTGTGTGTTCCTTCTTCCGTTGCGAACAGACCTTAATATAGTGTCCCCTTACTACACATTTATGTGCTTCCCACACCGTCAAGGGCGATATGTCGGGGGTTGTGTTGGTGTCAAAGTATTGTGTTAGTGCTTGCCTAACTGGGTCCGTGTCTCCTAGGTTAAGTAGCATATTCTCATTTAGCTTCCAGTGTCTTCCAGTGTCTTTCCGCCGGTTTGTGCAATGGGGATTGGATCTGAACTGAAATCAGGCCTATGCTTGCCTTGCGGAGTAGTGGCAGGGCTTCCTGTGCCATGAAGATATAGTCGATCCGACTGTATCGCTGGTGCACAGCCGAGTAATAGGAATAGTCCCTGTCGTCAGGGTGCGCTGCCCTCCAGCAATCCACTAATCCACTTCTTGTCAGTGCTCTCCCGACTGCGCGTGTGCAATGACCTGGTATTGAGCTTTCTCCCCTAGAGGTGTCCAGTCTAGCGTCTAACGGTGTGTTGAGATCTCCCGCCATAAGTAATAGGCCCTCCCTGAACTTATTGAGCAATGTAAGTGTTTTATTCAAGAAGACATGTTGGTTACGGTTCGGGGAATACAGGCAGGCGAATGTGTAAGGGTGTTGCGCTATGGTCCTTTTGATAAATAAGTATCTACCACCTGGATCTGTTCGTTGCTCTGTGCATACGAACGGGACATTATGTGAAAAGAGGATCGCCACACCCGCTTTTTTCTGGTCGGTGTGGTTAGAGTAGTAACCTGTGGGATACCTTCCGTTTTTCAGGGTGGGGGCCTCCGCACCTTTAAGATGCGTTTCCTGCACCACCGAGATGCGTTCCGCCCAGAGTGTACGGAGTAACTGAGACCGTTTCTCGGGTACGTTTAGGCCCCTGACATTGTTCGACCACAGGGTAAGCGGCGCCGGTACATAGCTAGAGCCCATCCCTGTCTGCTCGTGGGGTAGGTGTGTCAGAGTATCGCAGGGTTAAGGTTCGGGGGGGGCAAGGTGAGAAGTCAGGTCGATGTCAGGAAGGGGTTGTGGGTCTGGGTAGAAGGTAACTATGACTCGCCTCGGAGTCGGTCGCCCCCCGGTGTCTAGTCCCTTCGGGGTCTGTCACCAGAGTAGCCTCCGAGGATTTGTACAGTGTGAGTCAGTCACGTGGGGTTCATGGGTCGTCCGTTCTGGGGTAAACCGTCGTATGAATCGCACTGCTCTCACGGCACCCAGCCCACTAGTCTTGTTTATGTGGAATTTTCCCCTACGGGTATGGAGAAGAAGTATGAGGGTGCCACCTCCCCATCACCCAGTCTCCTCTCTGTTCTCAGGGGTCTGATTAATGCGTGTCTAGTAGGTATTTGGGCCCCGCTGCTACCAGCCGGGTCCAGCCTCTCCAAGTGCCCCCGCCCCGGCCAAGCCCTCCCGGCTCCATGGGCTCAGGCGTGTTTCCAATCCCTTTGTGTAAGTATGTGACCATCTAGGTGTGGTGCGAAACATGTGAACTTCATCAACGTTATTAACAATAACAACTTTACAGACCAGTCCACCGCCGTTAACACTCCCCTCTCCCCCCGGGACCGTACCCCTTCCCTCTGCTCCCGGTTTCAGCCGGGGGATGTGGTGCCCTATCCCGCTAGCTGGCTTGCCAGACCCTACTGGCGTTGGGCGATGCTTGGTTCGTGGGGCCTTCTGGGCGAGCATGGGACTGTCCAGCCTTTATCTTGGGAAGCAACTCAGGTAGTTGGTGTCTGCTAATGCCTCCCCCCTACCCCAACCACCCAAAGGGGGGAGTCTGTGGGCGGCGAGTCCGAGACTTTCAAAACCTGGGGTGTCCCCCTCCTTTATCTTCATTTTCTTCATTTTCCCCGGGTGTCACCCGTTCCCATCTGATCCCACCTCCCCAAATATGTGGCACTCCATTGTCTCAAGTCCCGGTAACTCTGGCTAGTGCCTAAATGCTACGGGCCCAGGATGGGGGTGTAAGTACATACCCAACGGTGTGTCAACTTCTGCTTACGGAGGGTGCTTCTCCGGGGCGACCCTGGGGGAGCGGTCCGGTGGTCTGTCTCACTGTGGTGCGGTTTCTGGGTCAAAATGAGGGTGTGAATGCTGGGGAGTGCCGCCGTCGGTGGGTGCACCAGTCGTCGCTCTCCTGGCCTCCTGAGTCCGTTATTCCTTGTGGCTGTCCGGGCCGCCCCTACGGAACCCAGCCCCTGTAAGGCCCGTGCCCGGCCTAGTGTTTGGAGCATTTGGGCGTTGTGGCTGTCTCTCCAGGACCCAATTTGAGACTGTCACGGCTGGGAGGTTCGCGGCTCGTAGAAAGCGCGGCACGTCTGCTGGCCAGCGTATGATATGCCATACATTGCTCACCTTTGCCTGTAAGCTAAAGGGGAATCCCCATTTATATTGTATCCGCCGATCTCTGAGCAGGGTGGTTAGTGGTCTCAATGCCCTTCTCGCTTCCAAGATGAGCACTGAGAGATCCTGGTATAGGGAAATCTGGGCATCCATGTAGGTGAGGTTCTGCTGACTTCTTGCTTCTTTCATGATTTCGTCTTTTAACGAGTAGGAGAGCAGGTAGCAGATTACGTCTCTAGGCGGCCCCTCAGCGGTCACGGGGCGCAGGGCTCTGTGTGCACGCTCAATTCCAAAGTCTGCCGGGGCTCTGTCTCCTAGTATGTGGGTGAACAGGCCCAGCAGGAGCTCTGGTAGTGCTTCCCCTGCTGATTCAGGGAGACCCCTAACGCGGATGTTGTTCCTCCGTCCGCGGTTGTCCAAATCTTCCAGATTCCTCCTTAGCTCCAGCAAGACATTGCCTTGTCTAGTAGTGGCTGTGTCAGTGGCTTGGCGGTGTTGTATGATTTGGGCGCGTTCTGCTTCTAATTCCTCCACCCTGCGTTCCAGTGCTGTCAGGTCTCTCCTCACCTCCATGACCTCTTCTCTGATAACAGCTCTTATTTCGGCCAGCAGTTCTGTGTTATCCGCCCTGGACATCATGTTTGCCGATATTGTGGCCAAGTCTGCTGCAATTTGGGTCAGTGACTCCTCTCTGGCTGGGCCTTTTGCTGGGCTGTCTGTGCTGCTGGCGTCCGGCGAGGACGGCGCCATTTTGGCCGCGGCCTGGTGCGCCCGCGTGTCTCGCGGTGTCCCGAGGTATCCGTCCATAGGACCCGCGGTGCGGCTCGGTGAGCCCGTTTGTGAGGGGCCAGGGGTGAGAAGCCTCTTTGTTTTACCCATCTCGGGTCAATTCGTGCCCGTGTATCGGTGCGGTAGTGAGCTGGGGCCTAGGAGCTGCAGGGAGATGCGTCTCACTCCATACCCGGTCAGGCCACGCCCTCCCATATACATTGTCTTAACATTATAGAGACACAAGTAAAAGTCATGTATAGGTGGTTCAATGATCTCCAATTATAATTCCTCAGTTTGCTGGAGATGTTTACAACAGGAGGGAACCATGTACCACAGATGTACATGGTTCAATTTTGGGACCTAGTGTTTAAAATCATAATGGATATTAATGGAAGACCGTTGATGAAAACAAAGCAGAAACTGCTCTGTTAATTATAAACAGTATGGCAAGGGTTAAAAAATATGAGTACCCATTGCTTAATGGCAGCAAAATTTATAATTGCTAGACCCTGGAAGCAAGTAATGATTCCAACAAAAGCATTATTTATAAAACAATTGCTCTTACAATTGGAGATGGGAATTTTTTTTTAAAGAGATCTTATACCAGGGAATCCGTGCATTGTTTTTAGAGGCACCCCACATTTTAAATAAATTCTTACATTTTTTTTTACTAAAGATACTGTCAATAGAAACTCATCTTTTTTTTTAATCACATTCAAAGGGCTTTTTTAAATGTAATAAATGTATGGTTTGTAAGAGCACTAACCTAAATATGAAATCTAATACCACACATTTCTCTTCCAATATCACAAACCATTCCTACCCTATAAAAGACCTCATTTGTTGTAACACAAAGAATGTAATATACCTATTAGAGTGCCCATGTGGCCTCCAATACGTAGGGGTGACCTGAAGATGCTTTAAAATCAACATTATTAAAGGCTACCTTAACCATTCTGTATCCAGACATTTCTTAATACATGATAAACATCCAAAACACCTTAAATGCATTGGAATCTAAAAATGCAATGTTCCTTGGAGAGGTGGAAATGTAGATTTTGGGTAAAAAAAGAAATGTATTGGGTCTGTCGCCTACAAACTCTCCCTCCTGTTGGTTTAAATGTAGACTTTGACCTTTTTACAACATTCCATACACATATTTTACCCTTATTTTATTTTTTTTATTTTTATTTTTCTACTCATTTTTAATTTAATTTTAACAATATTTATATGAATATTTTAAACTTCACCACTTGTTTTTTTATTTATACTCATATTTATTTTTATATTTATTTTTAACTTTATTTCTTATGTTTTTAATTTATATTTACTTTTATTTTATATTCATAGTTATTTTTACTAACATCTCTTTCAAGTCTGTGTTGAGGTAACCTATACTATTAAACCTCCTCCCATTCCATGTCTAGTCGCAATTTAAAATATAGCGGCACCCGTTCTTGTTGTGAGCTGGCTCAAAACTACATTACCCAGAAGACCTAGCGCTAATCACGTGGCGTCGCTCGATAAACCTTGTTTTAAATTTCATTTAACATTATTCTTCACACAAATAGTCCCTAATAACATAAAGATTATTTTAATAAGCTCAAATTTATATTTTAGAAATGTTTAAAATGTTGTTGTGATGTCATTTGGGCGCCAAATTTGAATCAATTATGTATGTATATAAACTCTTGCTTGTCAGGTCAGTCCTTTTTATCTCCACTTGATAAAGCATTAAAGGTGAAACATGTTGTGGATATTTTTCATATTGTTAATAAAGGTATTTTGGCTACTTTTATACCGTGAGTGTGCGATTTTACTCTTTTATTATTATTTTATATTTTTACGTCTCTACTGCATGGCATCTGTTTTTATTCTGTTCCAGTGAGGACTACCAAAATAAATTAGTGTGGTGTGAGCACTTTAAAATATAACATTTATTGATTGATGTTAAAATATCCCAAAAAAGGGGTGTGTGATAGAATTTATCTTGATTCCAAAGCTCAAGCTTATAGGTGTCATATAATGATATCCTATATTAAAATTATAACTTGGACTCAGGAAAGGAAATGCTTGATGCTTAACACAACACTTAAGACCATATATGTCTAGTTCCGGGAGCAGAGAGCCCCCACCTGAGATGTCTCTTCTCTAATCTTTGTGTTCTTTCTTACCTTGGAACTTATTTGTTATGTGTACATGACACTCATCCCTATGTCTTATCTGTACTCTCTTCCTATTAGTGTCCTATGAGTATTTGCATGTAAGCACTTACTTTTTAATGTATAAAACCCAGCTGATGAATAAAATGGCAGAGGCTTATTCTGAATACCAACAGGTGTCTGGTGTCTAATTCTCACTTCTCCAAGTGCACTTGTAATAATAATTTGGGCTTCCTCTGAATATAACAAAGATCATTATTTGGATCCACAACAGGGGTATTGGTAGTTTGTAGATAAATACATAGAAAGAAATATGGGGTGAACAAAGGTAAGGTAGAAAAAGGGGTTGAACAAAAAAAATTATAATACAAAATTATGATAAAAATCTAAGTATCTCTTTAACTAGATGGGATACAAAAGGAGTCAAAAGTTAATAGTACAGATTTAGGCGCAGATATTTCCTGGTAGTATAGTGGATAATAAAGTATCAAGTACACCACTTATAGTTACCCTGCACAGTTAACTGTTGCAACGGTGTATCACATAGCTCTATGCAGAAAGCTAAGAGTAATGTGTCCAACAAGTTTAGAGTATTTGCTTTAAAGTAATAGTAGTATAGGCAGAAATGGTTAAACTTGCAGACTGACCAACGAGTTTGAACTTGCAGATAGACCAACAAGTTTAAAATATTTGCTGCAGAGTAATAGTAATATAGTCAGAAATGGTTAAACCTGCAGACTAATATCTGTGCATATCGAAATGAGATTAACAGTGAGGGTGCATGCACCAGTTGATCCCTAGTCTTGTTAAATCCCTACATATTTTGCAACTGGCACATGCCCCGTCCATGTTCCAAAATAAAAGCTGGTATACAAATTAATGAAAAATGCCTCCGTTGCCAAATACGTCTAATTCTTAGAGAGATCCAATATAGAAGGAGTTAATAGAAATCTAGTTTTTATGATCACCGATTGTACATATCCACATGAACATTATAACGATTACGTACCATTTTATAATTATTTCAACAAACATCTCATTTTGAACTATCTTTAATTCCCATCTCCTTAAATCTATCCCCTTTTCAGCATTTCAGACATCAACAAAGACAACCGCTTAGTTGATAGTTCCCATTAACAATTCATTCAGGTATACAGTATCCCACTTCGGTAATCAATAATATTGTCAAACTTTTTCAGAAATATCAGAATTAATTTTAATTAATTTTATATACTCTGATACCATACAACTTATTAAACAACTTATTATACGAATATTATCACAATGAGGAGATAATCCAACACATTACAGTAATCAACACCCAAACGTACAGTCTCATTATATATGACACCTACAACCCCATAAGAAACAGACCTTGGAGTTAGTATAACTTAACAGTATGCAAGTTCTTAAACCTTACAGGTGTCACAGTGAATAAGTTTCCAATCTCTGGATACAGAGACCGGTAAACTCCCCAGGAGGGAGTTAATAGAAATCTATCTTTCATGATCACACTTATCATCACCGATTGTACATATCAACATGAACATTATAACGATTATGTACCATTTAATAATTATTTCTACAAACATCTCGTTTTTAATTATTTTTAATTCCCATCTCCTTTTCCAGCTTTTTTAATTTTTTTGTTTACCCCCTTGTTCTACTTTATATACTATTTCTTTCCTTGTATTTATCTACAGACTATAGCTCAATACCTCCCTTTTTTGGGATATTTTAAAGTCAATTAATAAAAGTTATATATTAAAGTGCTCACACCACACTAATTTATTTTGGTAGTACAATTACAATTAATAGTGGTGGACGATATAGATCTCTCTTTTTCTTATTGTTCTAGTGAGGACTACTCAAAAGAATCCTAGGTGGGGATTATACCACCAGTTCGCCTGCTCAATCAAATGTGAGTACCAATTTATATATCTTTACACTCCTGGAATTTTAATACAGTGAGCACTATTGTTGTTCCTTTTATCATATTATGGTCTTCACTACATTGAAACAACTATCAACTTCTCATGTATCCTATAAGTCGGGATTGTACCACTGTATGCTATCCATACTAGAGCTGGTCACAGCTCTAAAAAACATGAGTAGGACCATATATACTTTTTAATATATACAAAATTCTTGGATATATTACACTATTAGTCCCTTTGCTCTTTTATATACAATTTTTAAGAGTTCTTCTGACCTTGATCCCCTGGTGGAAGAATACTCTCTGAAGAATCCCTTAATCATTTCTTCTGGCAAAGTCTATATTTCTACCTTGGAGTTTTATTAACATTACCAACTGTTTTTGAAATAGTAATCATTTTATTCATATATTTTTTATCCTGTTGTAATAGCTTTTCGTGTTGCTCATACATAGTAGATGAATATTGTTTTCGCGCAACCTTTCCCCCAATCCTTTTTTAAAACTATGACAGACCCATCCATAGGACGGACTGGAGCAATGGCCCTAGGCAGCACTTTAACAGGGGCAGCATTTTGACGCCCCGGGTCATCTCTGCTGGAGATATATGCAGCAGAGGCGGCTCTCTAAAACATGAGGGGTACCAGTGGCTTGCCCTGTATGCTGCTGGGCCCCTCCATCAGTCTGCCAGGAGAGAGCCTCCAGTCTGCAACTCTGCTGAGTGCAGTGCTGCAGACCATGTGATGGAAGGCCCGTGAGCTCCCAGAGCGTTGCCGTGAGAACTTGGTCTGCAGCTAACACCCAGCAGATCTGCAGACTGGAGAGTCAGCCACTGGACCAGCAGGGAATACTGCACTGAAAAAAAAGGTATGTAAACAGCCTCCCCACAACCTGTCATCCTCCTCACCATGCCCCCCACAATGTCACCCTGATACCCTGCCCCCACTGTCACAGTGTCACCCTCACATGCTGCCCCCCACTGTCACCATGTCACCCTCACACACTGCCCCACA